AGTAAGCTAACCATTTTATAGCCTTCTACAAAGCTTAATCTTATAAGTTAGCTCTTTCTATAGTTTATAAATAAATAGAGTTCGTAGTATAACTCTTATCGGTGATACTATTAAGGGGGTTTAAGGTGTTTATATGAATTAGGAGTTTAGGTAAACCTTAACTCTATTTTGAACTATATCGAATTGGGCATTGGGTATTACGTTCCAAACTATGTCGTAAGAGGTGCTAAAACGCTATATAATAATATAATTGCCTGGGTGTGAAGATCGAGCTGATCTGTCTCTCTTATAGGTATCCGCGTAAATGTGCTTCAACAGCTTGCAAGCTCTTCGGGTTGAATCTTTTCCACAGTAGAGATAAGTTGGTAATCTTTCTTTGGGCTATTTGGCTGGGGGAAGCCAAGCTCCGGGGTCTGTGGTCTGGCAGGCTTGTCGTTTTAGGTCGCTGTGGTGTCTGGGGTCGCGGGATGAACATCTTGTAGGGGAGCGGCTGCTGAGAGAGTATGAGCCCGTAACTTGGCCTGAGGAAGGCGTGTGGTATCGAGGTCTTCGACTTTCTCCTCTTCTTGAGCATCAGCTGCATCCTCTTGGGTGTGGATGGCGCTGGATCTGTGACAGTGACGTACGATATCGGCCGTCTCGCGTCTGGAGACTCGTTCGCAGCGGGGTTGACGCCATTGCTGATAGATTCAAGTGCGATCTCGATGGGGTGCCATTTCGGGGACCTTGCATGAACTTGACGGCTTCGGCCTCGGCAACGGTTGGATTGACGTCTTGGCTTCGGAGCTTCGGGAACTGGGTGGTGAAGCGAGTGGCTCAACGAGTGGGAATCCGTCTTCGCGTCAGAAAGCGATAGATTATGGCGATCTCTGGAAGGCTGGTTGGCGGGCCGGCCAGCTCGAAAGTCTGCGGGCTAGGAGACTCCCTTTCAGAGCGTCGGATTCATCGTTGGTGGGGGAGATGGTGGGAATGCGCCCGGATCTAAGAACGGCTATGCCTGTGAGGCTTCTCTGGATTTGCATCGAGCTGCGGCGACGATGGGAATCCATTGCTTCATCAGCGACGGCGTCCGCATCTCGCACAGCTACCCTTACGGGTTTGATCGGTCTGCCGGCCAAGGCGCGTGGAAGTAGTAGGCTCAGCTACCACAGCTCTCAGGTAGGGCTTCTCGTGGTGTCTTTATGGCGACAAGTACGGCGGCGACGGACAATGACGATGCAGAACCTCGGCATAGTTGCAGGTAGGCAATTGGATCATAGTGTGCTGCCATTCGATCCAGGTAGACCTGGGCACACGCCGGTTAGCTTAAAATGGAATAAGATGCAATCTAAAGCAGAGCAGAAGAAAGTGTCCGACTTACGGATGGATGGAAAGCATGCACGGGGAGTAGTTACTTGGAAAGCCGATGCAGATGCGCCGAAGGTCGGTCATGTCGGCGGTCTTTGGTCGAAGTGATCAAGATATGTACGACATAGCGAAGAGAGAGTCGGCGCAGCGAAAACTCTACCCTGGAAAGGCAAATAGACCCATAGTCGGCAGGAGACACGAACAGAAAAGGAGAAAGGCGACTTGGGTGGCAGCGAAAGGCGAGTACGCAATGGAATTAGGCGAGCACGCTTGAGATGACTTAAGTGATTCTATAATCAGAGGATGGAATTGGGTAAAGAGCGACTCAATTTCCGATGGAAGTCACTTACATTGAGTGTGACCTGGGCACGGACAGGATGGTATTGACGCGTGATGGCAGAGTAAGGAGGAACTTGTGGTGGTTGACCAACAATCGATAGCCGGATAGATGCATCCATGTCTGGGTCTGATCGAGTTTCCGATCGATTTTCTAATTGTGGGCCCAATGCATTTATCGGTGCTGCGACGGCCTCCCGTCTGCCCGTATCACAAGATATGGCAGCTGCATACAGCTAAGTTGCACCCCGACGTGTGTTGCCACAGATGCTTGTGGTGGTCAAAGTCCGTCATCTTCCCTACATCGCTTATGCCTGCTACGCATTTGCCTGCCTACCCTACCACATATGCCCCTGCCGCACATGGTTGAATGTCCAAGTAGTCAGCTGTGGGAGGTCCATTGCAGGTGTTGCTCCACTGTAGAGGTCGCTCCACTCCAGTCCCATGACTACATGTGCTGCTCCACCACAATTTGGGAGTGCGTCGCAGCTGTCACCCCAGCTCCACCACAGCCAAGCGTCGCTCCACTGTCACGTGACTGCCTATGCGGCAAAAGCTGGACACGAACCTTGCCTTAGCCTATTTGGGCTAGCATGCAGCAACGCAAGATTTAAGCCGTGTGCATGTGAGGTGAGCCGCAAATTGCCCCAGCACACAAGCCACAAACCACAGCCACAGGCCCGACTCACATTGCCATTTCAGCTTGCAGCATTCAGCTTGCGACAGCTGCAGGATTTTAACTATTATCCCATTAAACTCAACGCAAAGTCGCAATCGTATACGAGACGACCAGACAAGCCCTTGTGATCAATCAATCACCATGTTCAACACGTGAAGCGACGTCTGAGCATCACGCAAGGTGGCGAAAGACACGATGATATCGGGGACGACAGAAAAACCAGTTGAGGTATCCCGAGTTTGGTGATTTGCTGAGCAGCCGAATTCTTTTCTTCTCCTACCTAACAGTTCTATCATCGAGACAAGAGCGTCACCTCTTCAATCCGAATCCATCGATCTACTACAGTCAAAACAAAGATCACAAGGCAATGGACTAACGGCGTGTTAAGTCAATAAGGTGGGTGCAACTTCCAACCTAAGCACGGCTTCCGCAGAGGTTCCGGCTCGTGATGGCGTCATGGCTCCCTTACTAACTACCGCTACCAGCTTTAGCCGCTAAGAAACAAGACACCAAGAACCACGATCCCTCCCTAGTCCTGAACCCCATCCGACGATTCTTCCAAGCTGGAAACACAGCCGCTTCCACATGCCAGCCACTCTCGCCAACCGTAGTCGGCTTGGCTAGGCGACATCCTGACGGCATCCCCCGGCGACGAAGAAGACTACACATCGAGTGGTGCTGGTAGTGACCAGGAGGAGGAGGAGGAGGAGGGTTCCTTGTGCCTCCTGGCTCAGCTGAGACAGAGATGATAGAGCGGCTGAAGACCATTTGCGATGGTAATTCTGCGGCGGTCGGACGTGGGAGGGAGAGGCTTAAGCTGGCGAGGAGGGAGGCGGCTAATGATACTTGTCGGAAGATCGAGAGAGCCTCGGAGGAGGTTGACATGGTTTAGAAAGAAATAGATTGATTGATGAGATCGTTACCTTTATTTCCGCGTAGTTGTGGTTTGCGAGAAGATCGTTGGAGTTGCTTGTGGTGGTGAAGAAAGATTATGAGGTGGATGTGCTGGTCTACAAGCGTGCTTCGCAGATGTATCATATCGTCGACCAACTATACTACTATTGCAGCAGCGGTGCATCCGTCCTTCCAGAAGTGTCTCAGGGTTGATAAAACCAGCTCTCTTCTCGGTCCGCTTCATAGCTACGAATATGCTATGCCTTGCGAGGTTATGTTCAAGCTCTACAGAGTCTTGTTTCAGCTAACCAAGCCTGCGTGACGACTAGTGTTATATGATATGAGACGTCAAACATCAGAAGGGACAAATGTCATCGGCACGGAGTGGAATTGAGCGCGCCCTGGGGCGACGAATCTAACACGAACGCCATATAAGCGTGGTTCCGGCTTCTGACCGCGTAGGTCACCATCCCGGAAGCAGCACCTCCATTCGTCCGACCAAGGTTATCTCGCCAACGACACGCGGGAGCAGCCGGCGTCTGTGCCGCGGTCTGCGCCTGTTCCACCACGGCCCTCCGGCTGAACTTCTTGCTCTTTGTCGACCCGACCAGGACACGCACCACCTGCTCCGACTCCCCGTCCCTGGTGTTCGCGTCGCACCGTTGGAGACGCCGCTGGCCTCGCTCTGTCCAGACCCGCCGATCTCGTTAACGTCGACGAGTCCCGCGCTCGGATCTCGGACTTCAGCTACGCTAGCAGCTACGCTAGCCGAGATGTCCGCGTCTGGGTAGGTCCGCTTTTGATCTTGAGCACGTTGTCTGTCCTGCTTAATGATCGTCTGACTAGTCTGTCCGGACCTCTTCCCGCCGCCACCGTTCCAATAAGCTTCGCGAGAGGAAGGCGCACTACTTGCGCGGGAAGTATGACTTCTCCTATTTTTTGCGGAGGAATGTCGGCTAGGGGAAGGAGTTTGTACTCGTACTTGCCTCTCTTGGCTATCCATGATACAATCGGCCTCCAACTGGGAGGCGCTGACAAGCCTTGGGGCCGTTTGAAGGAAGTGTGATGGGGGTGTCTTACTGGAATAAGGGTATCGAGGTACGTATGTATGCGTGTGTGTGTTATGGGGGTGTTGGACTATTGTAGGATGCCGGGTGCAAGAGAATAAGGAGAACACAGTTTCTGCCAGAGCTGGTGTGGCTCCCCGGGATGATGGCGGCTGTCCACCGCCGATATTCATTATCCATCACCGCGTCCTATTCCGACGGGGCGTCTTCTACGTCAGCGGCTCTGTCGGTGTTTGGGGTGAGGCCGGATCGAAACCCCTTAGCCCGTTTCGAAAACCGAAAAGATGACGTAGTTGGGGCCAAGAGCCGTATAGTTTGGAGGAGGTCGACGTGGGTGATGGGGCCCGGGGGACCTTTTCCGGGGCGGCGAGCTGTCTGCCGGGTCGATGTGTCTGAAACAGTGTCCAGGGTTATATTCCGGCCATTAAGTCTGGCCAAAAGACCGAGAGGGACGTGCCGGGGGGACGTCTAGTGAAGCGACTGCACGAGGGACAATGGCGGCACAGCGTCTGCTGAGAAAGCCAGGGTGGTGTTTGATGAACACGAAGATTCCAAGACGGCCAAGTCGATCAATAGAGAGTTAGCGGTGGTCGCAAATCTCGAACAGCTCGAAGCAGAGCAGCGAATTGTCTGGAAAAGGATTGTGCTAGGGAGCTTCGCCAAAAGAAAAAGGATAGTGGTCGCTACAGGGTTCCAACCTACGACCATCTATGTCTATACATACCCTCTGAGGGTACATGTTAAACAGACGCTCTTCCACTGAGCTAAATGACCATGTTGTCTCTATGGGATGTTGCTTTATAAGACGGATGAAGAGCTACCGTCCCAACTTGGCTGCAGACTCGGTAACCTAAGACGTTACCCAGTTTGGTTGAACGCTGGAACTTGGCTTGCTATCATGCCGGTTAGTCGATGAGATAAGAAGATAGCTGAGAGCTGTGTTGGTGGAGAGTGAGATGGGGACGTACTAAAGGATGTAAAACCACCTGGAAACTCCTAACACGACGTTCCATTGCTGCAGTAGACCCCCATGATAATGCAGGTGGGTCGACCCCGGAGACTGGCAGGACGAGGAAGGACTAGGCCAGATGCAATGTCATGATAGCAGGTGTACTCCACCCAGGCCACGCTCCTTCCCAAGCGGCGCCACACCTGCTATGGGAACGTGAATTAGAGTTCTAAGACACGGGAAACGTAATCTATGATGAAGAGAGCAAAGATGGCGCGAGAATCTTTGGCGATGACGGGAAAGTCGATGCAGTCAAGCGCGAAAAGGCGTCGTCGATCTTGCTATTAGGGAACGTCGAAGTAAGTAGAATGCGTGACATAGCGTTGGGGAGGGTGGTGTAGTTCTTGCCTTTCGGGATACACATCTTAGGCAGATGACAAGCGCGAGAGACACGACGCACCGAGCTAAGATCTCAGAAGCAGAAACATGGTGGGGATCCTCGGTGCGGAACCCAAGTTCTGACGGGTTGGGCAAGAATCCCAACGTGGTTGCCTTCGTACCTTTCAAGTTGTAGCATCACATGACTCGTCAATAGCAGCGCCGGGTAGGTGTGAGTCATGACGTTCATGGTTCCAAAAGCTGGGCAGATTACCAGAAGCCAGAAGGGGAAAGGTAGAGCTTAGGTTCAGATGAGGCATTCCAAGTTGTAACTACCACAGGACTATGCCTGTGAAATGCCTTTGGCAAAGAGAGCGGAAGAAAATCGTATTGTAGCCTTATCATGGCCCTGTTTCGAGCCCTCAACTCTGAGCAACGGTGTCAACTGGTCTCAGATTCAGACGTCCCTTCTAAGGCTCGGCTGGTAGTGACTTTTGGCACCTGTGGTGACCGAGTTGCCTTGGAAAGACGTCTGAGACACCGATCTGGGCGGCCACCAAGGAACATGGAGACGCTCTAGGCAAGATATGCGTTCACTGATTGTTTCACAAGTACGGCACTAACAACGTAGCCAAATGTACCCTGAAGATGGCCTCAAACTAGAGATTTAAACGGCTGTATTCTTGTAATCATTGACGTATATCTTCGCTGTTAGGTTGGGTTCTGGGGCTAGGTGTATTGAACAGTCCGATCAAGAGCCTCCTTGCAGAACAACCTCCCTCCCAGATCTCGGCCCACAACTTGGCTCGGAGGGTCTCCTGGTAATTCTCTACCTCCGGGCCCAAGCGGTTTGCGGATAGGTGTGGTGGTTGCAAGTGCCCTGGTGTAGGCGAAACAGCGGCATTTGAAGAGCTTGTCAAGACCCCAGATTCTGCCCAGAGTCCTGCACGGCACCCACTTGCAATCCAACTCGGAGGGTCAACCGGCAAGTCTCTACCTCCGAGGGCATTTCTCTTGTGGGCAGGTGCAGTGATTCCAGGTGCCCAGGGTGTGGGCGAAAATAGACGTGTCTACCGGCCCAGCTGTGAGCCTTGATTCCTGGCCTGTTGCACTTGCACCTCGTGCCGTTGGATCATCTCACTGCTCTCCAGCCCGCAGAGTAAGGCTGGCAAGTGTTGGCCATTGCTGCGCAGGTGACGGCTTGGTGGACACACATATGGTAGCCGAGGGGTGAGCGCAGAATATACCCCGGGACAGGCCGCGCCACAAAAGAAGTCAACCATTGGAATACGGGAATCCCTGTGTCAATGTTAGCAACTGTACAAGCGGGCGCGGAATTGCACTTACTGCGCTGGTGTGGGCAGTTCGTCTGCGAAGGTGTCGAGATGAAGGACGACATGTTCCTTCCTTGGTGCGCGCTCATATCAGCGGCTCAGCTTGCAGGTGGTGCGTGTGGTGTCATTTGATTGGTCAGGATTCGCTGCGGGCGAGATCTGAGATAAGCGTCACCCAACTCACTGAATCCTGGCAGGGCAAGTGGTTCACCGCCTGGCAGAATCTCGATCACGTGGGCAGGTCCAACATTTGCCTTGAACCAGCCTCCGACTTGAGCTGCATTAATCATCCAAGTGCCTTTCAATCCTGGATTCCTGGTAGCTTCCGGCCTTTTGGCAACAACCACACCGGCAACTAGGCGACAAAAGTCACGATTAGGCTGATTATATAACCACCTTATCGCCAGATCATCGGTCTAATCTATCTGCTCAATATTAGGTTCATCAGTAGCTACCAAACTCGGTCGCGCTGCTTGATCGCGCATATACGCCTCTGGTATGTAAACTTCCCATTGGATCTCTTGTTCTCTGACTCCTTTCCAACCTCTCCCGCTGTCTTGCAACAAGTAACTCTGAGATTGTTTACCACAGCGTATCTTACTAACAATATCATTTCTTAGATTGCCTAAACAACTACCTCGGCTAGATCCTCGAATTTCCAAAAGCCTCTCCTTACACGCTGATGATCCGTGGCACCAATCTTTCGACAATGACTGCTCGTACCGGTATTTGTATTTACGCCGAAAATATACTAGTATGGCGGCAGTCTCCATGCGTCGCTGTTCTGTTCCGAGCCGATCAAGCGACGACCACACAGCCCTCCGGCGGCTATGACCAGACCGATATGTGGAGTCTGGGCTGCCTGCCCCAAAGCTAACATGCGCCATCGCCAGTTGGTTCAGCTCCTAGCGAAGCAACTCGTCCGAGAATACAAAGAGCTTGTCCCCGAGACAGCTACAAATTCTTAAGCGGTTTGTGGCTTTGGAGAAGTCGACAAGTCGTCGGCGCACGGTCCAGTCGTTCACATTTGTGCTGCTACCACGTTTGAGATGCCAGTTCGAGATGCCAGCTGTATTTAGCGGTGCGAAGGGAGTACATCCAGGGGTGATAGGACCTCTATACTCGATATACACCCTTGTCCCAAACAGTGAGGCGACGCTCCTCACTGCCACATGGTCCCTAGAGTCTTTGCCCCTATGAGATACCTAAGCGTCGTTTCTCAGCCAATGCGTCTCTTGCAGGTATGCCGCTGAGGACCCTCATTTTCACGGCCATCTTGGCCTCGTGCCGGGACACCGAGAAGGTTGGTGTCGATTCTGGACAGGAATTTCGTCGGAATAGCAATGGTAGGTGACCACGATCTGACTGAGCGTTTCTTCGTCTTCCCCTGGTACTAACAATTCTCGCAGTGTCCTCTAGATCGGAAGATGCTGGCCACTCCTGTTACTGTCGTCCAAGGACAAACAAGATGGCCGATGTTCTTTCAATCACCATCGCACATGGACAGAAACAACCTGTGATTTTCAGTGGGGAGTCCTAGTCGGGTGGGTACGTGCGCCACCTTATTGTTTATCGTCGCTCTCGGCATCATTTTTCTAACTGCAAAGTAGTACCGAATGACTAGATGTCTTACGTCGCGACGGCGCCTTGAGCCGTGAGACATGCGGCGTAACAACCCATGTCCTCCCTTAGGTGTGTTCACATCATGCCATCGACAAGCCCGCCGACGTGGCCCTTTGTGAAGATACCTTCCTACAAGCCATGCCGAGTAGAATGGAAGACAACGGGGAAGACGAGCACTTTTGCTTCGGATTGGTGTTATGGTACCATGCCGTCCCGGTAGTCTCTCGCAAAGTACCACTCTGAAGAGCGGTCAGGGAAGATCGGATGCTTGGAGCAGGGGACCCTCGTGGCTTGCATACTGCGTATCCTTCGCAGCAACACAGAGGCCAGCGGGACCGGGATGTACGACCTGCTCTTTGGACCTTTCCAGTCCAACGCCTGTCTCTCAAACGACACGCTAACCTCTCGCACAGTGTCTGCCACCTTGGTTCCCCTTGCACCCGCTATCCTCGTCGCCGTCATTATCGGTGGCAAAAAAAGAGGCTCTGGTCCTCCACAGGGGCACCAAGGCCAAGCCCAAGCTGAAAAGCAAGGCCGACGCCGGAGCTAAGTCTGCGGCCGCGCCTGAGGCTATGCCGATGTCCAAGGGCGAAGTCAAGACCGAGTCCGAAGTTCCGAAGTCAAAGATGAAGCACGCCGACGACGACGACGACGATCGTCAGGAAAGGAGGAACAGGATGACGACTTCCTTTCCCCTCCCCCAAGGTCGTATTCCTTCTCCATCCACCAACTTGTCTCCACAACTATCGACGCATCCACGGTCGCAAGATACCTTGGACCCTTGGTGCCCAAGAGATGGCGCTGAGTGGCCACTTGCCATACATTTGCGGTCACCTCTCGCATTAGGCCAGCCATGTTCCATGGCGAGTCCGACTGCCCTGACGCCGGCAAACAGCTTCTGGTCGCTCATGTGATTCCAAATCGTTTAGTTTGGTCTCCCGCAACTCTAAGAGCCAGTTGATCAAAGGTAAACAAGCCAGGAGCCACAAACTGAAGCCTCAGTCCAGCAGGTATTCATTATCTTCAGACTCATCATGCCGACAGCGTACCACCCCCGTACGTTCAACCTCCTCATCCACTCTGGCTTAGATTAACGCGAGTTCTTAGAATCTGTCCTCATTGTTCTTTGCCTTGTACTTAGGTCTGGCAAGGGTTTGATCCCCACCGCCCTCCAAGGGTGTTCACCATCTCTTGCCCGCTTCTTCATTGCCCAATATGAAGATCACGGCGGAGAACTTCTGGAAATGGCTTCCGAAGGTGTCGGAAGCTATGGCTGCAGCCACCTATGTCTCTATTGACCTCGAGATGACGGGTATCAGCATCAACCTCGTCATATCGTCTGCGAATATGACCATTGACGTCGTCGACGAGCAAGACAAACTGGCTGCCGAACGAACAACTGTTGTGTCCTCTGTCTTCTCCTCCGCTGCTTGGTATACTCAATATGGTAAACAAAGCCGGGTTCATTGGCATATTGGCTAGTCTCTGGG